GCCTCAGAGATAGGACCACACAACAGGAGCGGAAGGTGTGGTAGTAGTGGCTTGATGAATCACAGAGTGCAGATCCCAGATAAGAGCTGGAGCCACAAAGGAATCCCAGCCCCTGTTAGATAGATGTCTTCCCACAGAAGAAGAGAAAAGAAAAAATACCCTTGCTTCTTCTGCTCAGCCCTCACCTCTTCTGAGGAAACCCCTTTGGCTGGACCTAACCAGTAAGCAATAGGTAAGAGAGTCTGAAAAATTCCAGGTAGCCTCTTGGGATTCAAACACAGAAGGGCACAGGATGGCTCAGGGAAAACAGGCAAACAATCTGCACAAAAATAGAGGGGAAAGAATCCAAGTAACCTCTAAGCATAGGAATTATATGTTCAATCTCATCAGTAATTAAGGAAACACAATATTAACACAGGAAAGTTTAAACGCTGATGACCGTGCTTAGCAATGGGAATGCTTATTCTCAACAGTAAGAGAGCAAGTTGAAGAACACGCTGGCTGTGTCTGACAGCGGTGATGTTGAGCACATCCTCGGCTCTGGGAGCTCTGAGTCCAGAAATACACCCTCAGGAAACTGCAGCAACATGCACCGAGAGACAGCTATATTAGCATTGTGGACAAAAAACCCAGCTGGGGACTACTCAGCTGTCCAGCAACAGGACAGTGGATGGCATGTATTTGATTCTTAGAACACCAAGATGAATGAACTGCAGAGAGACACCATGAAGGTCACAGGTATAATTTTGAGAAAAAAGAAAGAAAGAAAGAAAGAAAGAAAGAAAGAAGAGTATTAAAAGAACCTACCTCAAAATTAAATTTTCAAAATTATATGCACTCTTTCCAGATGGAGTCATACATCCATGGCAAAACTAGAAAGAAAAAAACCACTGGAGAAGATAAGTTGGCTCAGAGGATAAAGGTACTTGCTGCTAAGCCCGATGATCTGAATTTAATTCCTGAAAGCCACAGAGTGGAAGGAGAGAACTGACTCTATGACTGCTGCAGTTGTGCACATACACACACAAACACTCACTCACACACACATGCACACACACTCACTCACACATGTACGCACATACTTACACAAACATACACACACTCACATGAACATACATGGGCACACACACACATGTGTATAAACACACTCACTCACACATGAACACACACTCACCCACACACATGCACACACACTCACATATACACTCATGTACACACATGCACACTCTCACACACATACACACATGTACATGCACACATTCACTTCACACACACATGTATACACACTCACACTTATACATACACACTCACATTCACATACACACACCTGCACACACACTCTTGCATGTGCACATGTGATTACAAATTAAATAAAAGTTATGAAAGAAAAACCAACTACCAGGAAAGGAATAATCACCTGGGGTCTAAGATCAGTGGTTGAACACATGCTGAGCATATATAAGGCCTTGAGTTCAATTCCCAACATTGAAAAGAGATTGACTAAAGATGGATTAAAAAAAATTCAGAGGAGTGGTTACCTCTGTGCAGGAGGAAAGGTGGACATGATCAAAAGAAACCCACAGCACATAGACTATTAATTTTTAGGCACAGAATATTTTATCATGAAAAGCAAGACTTTAGAAGACCCAAGGGTTCATTTCTCCTCTTCCCTAGTTGTTACTGGAAACATATTTTATTGTACTTAATTAAATGTTATCTCTCACACTCACACAAGGTTTT